TTTTTTCTTTTTTTTTTTTTTCATTTTGTTACTTTGTTTGATTTGTACATTCTCCCGAGCGTGCGAACGGTTCTTTTTTATTATTTTTTTTTTTTTTTATCTCGCATCCTTCAATTTTCTCTCTATCATTCTCTTCCTTTCTCTTCCATCACGGCGTTTGAGAAGTGCTAAATGCTGAGGAATCGGCCGAAAAATGAACTTTCATTCTCCATTCTATCGCGATTGATTGTATTTTCTTCTTTTTCTTGTGACGAGTGTTTTGAATCGTTGGTCCGTTGGCGTGTGATGATTTTTCCAGTTTTTATCATATGCTCGCTTTTTTCGCGTGTATTTGTCGTAAAATCCATTCGAATCCTCGAATTTGTATTTCGTTGAAACGGAGTGCAAGAACTATGGACGAGCAACGAAGTCAAAGAATTATATTCTTTTTCTTTTCTTTTCTTTTCTTTTTTTTTTTCTTTTTTGTTATTTTCAGTTTCTACACTACTGAGTCTCCGAGTCTTCTCGCTTTTCTTCTTATTATATAGTATAGTAGTTTTTCTTCTTCTTTAGTCTTCTAGTCTCTAGTTGAAATTTCGTTCCGAAAATTTGCGCAACGAAAAAATGAATCAAAGATCAATGAACGAGTGAAAGGTGTAAAAAAAAAAAAAAAAAAAAAAATTCACGTGCGGGGCAGATTGCGGATCACGAACTTTCAATTCTTGTTTTCTTCCTTTTTTTTTTTTGTTCGTTTTCTCTTCTTCTTCTTCTTCTTCTTCTTTTTTTTTCTTTTTTCCTTACAAAGAGATATTCCAAAAAGGGGTGGGGGGCGATGTTTTTCGTTGTTGGGTCGAAGATCGTTTCGCGCAGGGCAACAACGAAAATCCTGTAAAAAGAGCGATTGTATCTCTCGGTCAGCGTCGTGCTTCTCTGTACGTTTTGCGTATCTGTCATTTTCTCTGATGTTTTTCCGTGTGCGATCGGCCATGGAAAAATTCGCGTGATAAAAATTTTGATTCGTTGTTCCGACCGGAAAATTAATATTTTCAAACGTGTTCTCTTCTCGTTAGGGTGCATCGTTTTCAGGAAAAAGGAGCGTCAAGTGATCTCGAAGTAGCGTAAATGATGATCTTTGACAAGAAGTAAAAGCAGCAAATTTCTTTCTCTTGGATTATCCTTGTTTATTTTTATTATTTCCGATAATTATTAATCGAGGCTGTCGAACGTTTCTTCTTTACTTGTGTCTTTTTCTTATCTTCCCTTTTTATCCTATTGTTTTATTCCGTGAATTTACCATCTATGGTTCTCGATGATGATATTTTCAATGAAAACTGGATGTTTGGTGAACTTTTTGGTGTTCTTACTACTGTGTGAATATTGACATATTTTTTTTTTGTTTGTTTGTTCGTTCGTTTGCGTATTTTAGTTTCTTGGCACTTTCGTCGTTTTTCTCTGCATTCTTTTCATCTTTTTCTTCTTCTTCTTCTTCTTCTTCTTCTTCTTCGTTTCATTCTTCTTTTTTTCTTTTTTTTTTTTTACAAAACGTTATTTTCACTCTTGTGTCTTTAAATATTTACGCTTGATAAATAAATACGGAAGCGTAGGCCTGCGGGCGAAAAAGGCTTTTCAGGAAACGACAAAGACGGAAATCGCGTCACATAAAACTGCGAGCCCGATCGCCTTTGTTGCACGTCATCGAAATATCCGTTTACTCGCCGAGCGGACCTGGCACCACCGTTTTTTCCCAAATATATTAAATATATTATACAATTTATCGGACTAAAATCTCCTTTAACTCCTCTTTCGAGCGACAGACGCGCACAGCGCAAAAAGCTGCGCGCCGTGCCCTTTTTTTTTTTTTTTTTTAAATCTTTCATCACTTTTTTTCACTCTTATCTTTATTTTATTTCTTACTCTATCTCTTTCTCTTTCTCTTTGTCTCTCTCTCTCTCTCTTTCTTTTTTTTTATCCGTTAAGTTACATACTTTTTTTTTTCTTTTTTTTTCTTCTTTTTTTTTTTACGAAAAACACTCCGCTTCTCTTCTTACTCCACCTTTCTCTTATATCTCCTTATATCTCTATTTAAAAAATGTCTTCGCCTTCTCTCTTCACGCCTCGCATTTTTTTTTTTTTATTAATATCGTTAAAATTCATTAAGTTATTAAAAACATCTAACAAAAAAATTGAAAAAGAAAGATTCACTTAGATCTCCCCAACAATGTATCAAAAATAAACTTATTACTCTTAGATTCATTTTCTCTTTCTCACAGTATTTCTCCTTCGTCCTTTTTTTTTTTTTTTTTATCTTCGTTTCCTTTATTTCATACTCACTCGCGTCGCTTCTTCTCTTCTCGTTTCGTCTTCATCCTTTTTTATTTTTTTCCCTTCCTTTCTCCATTCAAATCCGGCGTTAATCTTTTTCCTTCTATCTTCGGTCAATTTCTTTCTTTCTTTCTTTCTTATTTATTTATTTTTTTTTTTTAATCTCTTCTCTCTTCCTCTTTCTCTTTTTTTTTTTTTTTTAATCTTTCCGGCACTCCTCGAGATGCAGCGAAAAAGAAAAAGGCAAGGGGAACGGAGCCAGCAGCCAGTGGTATATAAAACTCCCACCTCCGTCTGTGTTCATCCCCTTTGTTCTTCCCTTGCACGTACAAATCCTTTTTTTTTTTTTTTTCCATCGTCCAATTTTTCCATATTACCCATATTATCGATGATATATTCCCGTGCGCACAAGTATTCTCAACACAAGTTCGTTTCTTCGTTCGTTACGCGTAGTATTTGCCTTCCACTCGATAAACAAAAATCCTAACACGCGATATATATATATATGTGTGTTTGTGTATATATATATATATCTATATATATCATTTCCCTTCCATTCAATATACACGTTTTTTCTTTTTTTTTTTTTTTTTTTTTTTTTTTTTCTTTTTTTTTTTTCCCCCTTTTCGTAAAATTGTATTTCCCTTTCTACCCACGTTCTAAACTCGTGTATTTTTGTACTAAACGCATACCAAATGCCGTGAGGTGAACCGACGGTCGATGACCCTTGTCTTCCGATCGATTCCGATCAACCGGAAGGGATTATCGTTTTCGTCGCTGTACGCGAACCTAGCGACCGAGATTCGACGTACCACAATTGAGCATCGATGATGTGCCACGAGATTTCGAGAGGAGGATAAGTCAGCATCGGGAAAAAAGAAATCATTTAACGCCAAGTTTATCTGAAATTGAATTCGAAGAGAATTATTTCGATTCGAAGAGATCGAAGAATCTTCGAACTATATAATTAGAGAGCCTGTGAATGTAATGTACCTTGAAAAGACGTTGAAAAATAAAGAAAGTTTACCGATTTCGTGAATAATCTTTCGTTTTCGTGGCACATGACCGTGCATCTCGTCAATCCGTTAATTTATCACTCCTTTTTTTGGTCATGTTTTATAGATCATCGAAAACGGAGCTAAGCCCGTATTCGTCGATCAATTCCTCGAGTCTCTTTCGATAAATAGTGCAAATTCACTTCACCGTTCTAAATAGTCTTATAGAACCATTATCTCCGTCTCTCGTTTTCTCCCTTTAGAAAGATCTCTTACGCGATCGATATTTTCCCGTTTCGAGTGAAAACGCTTCCCGCCCGTACGTTGCACGTGCGAACTATCGTATCCTCGAAATTTTTTTAGATTCCCTTCGTTTTCGTGTGGTTTTTCTTTTTCTCTTTTTTTTTTCTTTTTTTTTCTTTTTTTTTTTTTTTTTTGCCCTTCGCAAGTCAGAAACTTAAGGATTACG